TGCTAAAGAAAAAAAAAATATCAAGAAGTTTATCTTCAGTTTCCTCTTAAAAAAACCAGAAAGGGTTAAAAAGAACCATACACATGTCATATACACATTTGACATCAACAAAAAATAACCTGAAATAGAGTGGATACAACTTAAAAAAAAAAAAAATCTTAAAAAATATTTTAACATGCCCCAAACAAAACACACAAAAAAGCCGGGGAACAAAAAGCCTGCTCTGTTTCTCAAAACCAAGACCTGGGGAAGTGGAGAAAGACTGATGTTTGAGAAGTGAACGGGCTCAACACCACAGCGGAGGGAGCCGCTGGTCTCCTGCCCCAGCGCTGGCGCCCTGAGCCACCCTGTGGGAAACGGCCAGCAGAGACTGCAGGAGCAGGTACCAAGCACCCCATCTACCAATGGGCTCAGTGGCAGGTGTCCAACGAGTGGAGAGAGACAACATACACTGAACTCACCTTATGAGGAATTTACAGTGGGGTTCCTTTTGATCCCCTTGAGTAGGAGGTATCAGAAATCCATGATCTAAGACAATAAATATCTGTTCTGCATCGACAGACAGGAATCAGAGAAAAGAATTCCTAAACATGCTTCTGTCATTCCATGATTCTCGGAAGGAGCCCGCCAACGCTCTCCTCCCAGCAATTTAAAATTCTCCCCGCCCCTCCCCCCACATAGAATGCCCTGGTAGCCGGAAGGTAGGGACAGAGATGGGCTTATTCCAGTGTAAAGCAGCAAGGCCCTCCCCCAAGGGAGGGCCACATCCGCTGCCTGCGGCGGGGTCAAGAGCAACACAGAGCACTCTGAGGGCGGGGCTGGGTGGAGGAGGCCGTGTGCACAGCTCCCCCCCCCCCCCTTGCAGGAGCAGGAAAGTGGGGAAGCGAGATCAGCTCTGGGGAGACCCGTCAGCACAGACCACCTGAGTCAGGGCAGAGGGTGGGGGCTGAGCGGACTCTGAGTTCAGAACAGACCTCCAAGAGAGCAACTCCGCAAAGGCTAGAACCTCTACGACACTCCCTAAAGCAGAGCTCACGGATGTCCAAGGGGAGGCGGCAGGTGCTTTTTCCTGGATAAGGATTTGGTCATTTTCTTCCCTGGAAGGGGTGCAAGCCCAGAGATCAGGGCAAGTGTAAGCTCTGACCTACAGCCTCTCTACCCTGTGAGAGAAGAGGAAGGCCGCCGGCCCTGCTCCAGTCCGCTGCCACAGGGTGACGCTGGAGAGAGAGAGAAGAGCAGCGGTTCTGGCCACCGAGAGGCATTCCTGCTGCAGCCTGAGCTGCCAACCAGGGCAGTGGCACCAGGCCTCACTGAGGCAGCAAGGGGCAAGGCTGGGGAGTGCAGGCAGTTGGTGCCTGCTGCTGGCTGGGGGCTCTCTGCAAAGGGAGGGCAGCGCCACCTTCAGAGAGCGATCAGCACCAAGATATGAGAGGCAATAGCACTGAAGAGGCCAGGAACGAGGGGTCCTTCTGGGGGAAGATGGGGGGCTCCCTAATGTAATCCTCCCCCCTTGAGAGTAAGAATAGAGGTATCGGGTGAGGTGAGCTGTGAGGTGAGCCGGGGGAGGACAAGTGGTGGGGAGGCGATGGAGAGGAACTGGCAGGACCTCTGGCTTGTTTCTATGAAGGGAGAGCTCGAGTCGCTGCCAGATCAAGAGGTTCATCTAGAATGCAGCAAAGTCCGAAAACCCAGAGAAGCCAACTCTCTTCCTGGGGGATGCCCCCCCGCCCCCATCCACACCTTGTTCCGGGTCCTCTCATCCTCTTATCAACAGCGAGGCAGAGAGGGATGGAGCCTTCCTCCTATCGGGCCGGTCCCCTGGGATGCCTCCACACTAACTGTGGGTCCATAAAAGCACAGCTAGAAAGAGCTCCCTTGCTTCCCAGTGTTGTGGCACAAAGGACCTCCCCACAGTCTCCATCAGAGCATTCAGCTCCAAAACAGGACTCTCTGCGAAGCCTATAGCTACGTTCAGATCTTGCACTCAGTCCGTTCCTCGTTGGGGACCAGCCAGACCCTGACCCAGGGCTCCGGGACTTTTATAAAGGTGGGCATAAAACTCCCCATTTGTCCAAGTGTGTGTGTGTGGCAGGGGGAGGGGGGGCTTGTCAGGAATCCATCTGCAGAGAAGCTGGGGAACCTCATGCTCAAGGGCACAAGGGCCGAGCGAGAAGGCAGCCGCTGTGAGAGGGTCCACGTCATGCCCGGCCTCCGTCAGCTCTTCCCCCAGCACCCTCTCCTTTCTGCTCCTTCAGGGCACTCTGTTCTTCTAGGGGAGCGGAGGACGGGCAGCTCGGACCACTCCACCCCAGGGTTCTGTGCCCTCAGGCTGCAGCCTGGCATGTGCAGGGCTGAGGAGGCCACAGCTCTGAGGGCACTTGGCCAGCAGCATGAGCCCAGGGAGAGGACAGGCCTTGGAGAGAGCATTCTAGCTTGGGAGCTCAGTGGCAGCAGCCGCCACAGTGCCCGCCCGTATGGGAGTGCTGGCTGTCCCCAAACTTGGTCCTCCGGCTCAGGATCTCGTAGGAGCAGTCCTCTCCACAGCAACCAGACATGCTGGGGGAAGAGTCATCGATTTCAAATCTGCAAGGAAAGCAAGAAGAAAGGCTTGGCTGCAGGTAGCTGACTGCCTTCCTTCCTAGCCCGGGAACTTTTCCACCCGCCACACTCATGAGAGCCCTAGGAGTGAGGGCGCAGCCAGAGGGCATGCCCACGCCATCTCACCAATCCCCAGGTTACTCCCACGGACCACCGGACCGGGAGCTCAGCCTTCAGGATGAAGGAGCGCCAGGACCAGGAAAAAGGCCCTGGGGCAGGCACCCCCTACCCCCCAGAGGGCCCCACACCAGGGTCCAGCTCCTTACTGCAGCGCTTCTCTGAAGAACTGGTAGGCGCCATGATTGTGCTTAAATACAGTTAACATAACTTTCTTCATCTGTGTGCTGAAAAGAAAGCAGAGAGAACACCTTCCAGAAAGAGAAACAGACACTAACTCATGCCTCTTCTTTCGTGTCTCTGCCTGCTGTCTCCCATTTGCTCCCGAAAAGTGCTCCTCTGAGCCCCAACTCTAGCCTCCATGCTGGGCACCCACAGCACGCCATGCTTCCGTTACGGGGCTGACCGGACTGCACGGGCATCGGGCCCCCACCCGACTGACCACTTCTCCACCTCCTCTCTGCACCCCACTATTCAGGCACAACAAGGGCTCAGAAGCACTTACTGCATTGAGCCACACGTACAAAATCTGGAGTCACAGCAAGGCGGGGAGTATCTTTACTGAGAGGATTCTAGATGCCTTTTTTTTTTTTTTAAAGATTTTATTTTTAAGTAATCCCTACCCGCAACGTGGGGCTTGAACTCACAACCCTGAGATCAAGAGTCACGTGCTCTACCAACTGAGCCAGCCAGGTGCCCTAGGGCTTAGAGGTTTTGAAAGACTTTGGGACTAGAGGGAGCTGGGACACCACTGGAGGGTCTGAGTGGAGGAGCCATGGAGTGGCTTTTGTGCTCATAGGACCACCTGACTGCTGGGTTGGGAAGGGAGTGTAGGGGCAAGGTCACAGGAGGGCCTTTGCAGAGGCCACTGCTCCGGTCAAGGCGAGAGCAATTAAGCTTGTAGCAGGTGGACAGCGCTGGAAGTGGGAGAAGCAGTCAGGGCCTGGTGTGTATCGAAGGTAGAACCAATAGGCCTTGCTGGTGGACTGGGTGTAGGATGTGAGGGAAAGAGAAGAGTAAGATACCTTTCAAGGTTTTTTGTTTGTT